ACTGTCCATAACTTCAGTTCCAGAGGATCTGATGCTGCCTTCTGACCTTCATGGGAGCTGCACAACAGAAATGCGCTTACATATTTTCAGATAATACACTCATACACATAAAAATAATAAAATATTGTTTTAAAAGAAAACTTGAGGGGGCTGGAGAGATGGCTCAGCGGTTAAAGAACACTGGTTGTTCTTGCAGAAGACCGGGTTCAAATCCCAGCACCCATGTGGCAGCTAACAACTGTCCGTAACTCCTGTTCCAGGGGATCCAACAGCCTCTTCTGTCCTCTGTAGACGTTGCACGACACAGGTGCACTTACCTACATGCAGGCAAAACACACATACACATAACATAAAAATAGTAAAAATAAAATATTTAAAAAATGAAAATTTGAGTGATCTAAAATCCCATAAGATATTTAAATACGCAATGCGGTCAACAGAGGGGGAACTTTTACCTGTGATGTGATGCAGTTTCCTTTTTCTTTACACTATTCATGGTTTATTCTGCATTGTTCTCTTCTACCCAGACCTAAAAACTGAAACTGCTCCAGTTCCCATTTTCTGTTTATTCCTTGAATTTCTTCCCTTCCTCCAGATTAAATACCATGGTGTCATTGGTGACCATCTGATTTACATCAGCCCTGATGTAAGATTCCCTTAGACTACGGGAATCTCATGTTTCCTTTGTCTCTAGATTTGCCTATTGTGGATATAGATATATAATTTGTGACCTTTTCCTGACTTCTTTAATTTAGTATTATTCTAGGGTTCATCTGTTTGAGAATATCAAGTCTTGGTTCTTATTTGTTTGTTTATTTGCTTCTATTTTGAGATAAGGTCTCCCTGTAGCCCCAGCTGACCTGGAACTTGCTATATAAATCAGTCGGGTCTTGGTCTTACAGAGATCTGCCTGCCTCCCAGTGCTGGTATTAAAGGTGTGCCCAAGCCCAGTTGTTTATTTGCTTTTGATAAGTCTCGCCAGGCAGCCTAGGCTGGCTTTGAACTCTACCAGTCCTCTTGCCTCAGCCTTCTAAATACACGTGTCATCGTGCCTGGCATTCATTCTTTTTTATGATCAAATAATATTCTATTATATCAGTAATAATATAGTTGATGACATAAGCATGCTTTTACTGAACTCTTGACTGGATCAAATGATGGGCAATTTGAAGCTACAGAATGAAAATACAGTGTGATATATATGTATGTATAATTTGGATTAAATATGACATCACAAATATTGGTGCTTAGATCTTGTTAAGTTTTGCTAAACCAACTTTTACCTTTCTAAAAATAATGAGGTTGTGGTCATACTTTAGCCTTTGGTAAAATCTCATTCTGTGGTATTTAACTTTTAGAAAGATAAGCTATTTTGTTGCTTTTTTTTGGTTGACTGCATTTATTTACCAGTTATAAAGGCTTTGTATAACAAATTTTGTTATTATACAGATGTATAATCCATTTTGTATAACATTTTTTTCTAGAAGAATTGGGTTTAATTTCTGGGTCATACCATAAATTTTCAAAGTTTGAAAATAGGCATCATTTTTAGTGAAAAATGTCTTTGTGTTTAAATGATTTTATTGAATTAATGTTATGAAATACCAAACTGTTAAGAGAGCATTGTATTTTCTTCAGACTTTGAGGCCTGGTATTCATGAATGTATAAAAGCACCAAACGTTTGCTTTGAAGATTTATACATAAAGCTGTATTTATTTCAATGTGAATGTTACACAAGTCACCAGGACCATCTAAATGTTATTTTTAATTAGTATTCCAGACATTAGTCTTCATAATGAATGTATCCATTTTCTAAAGCCATTTAGGAATTTCCCAAAACAGATCAGTGGCCTCTTTGTCATGGAAGATTTATAAAGAAGTAATCAGTGGGCTTAAAAAATGATTTTTGTAAAGGAAATATTTATGTCTGTGGATGTTAATATGAATAAGCTAAGAAACTGGACTCTGCAGTTGTTAAAGATGTGAACTATTTATGAAGAATACAAATCTGGTTAAAAGTGGCATGAAGTTGACCTTCTCTGCTATTTATATGAGAATTACCCATGATTAGTAGAAGGATTTAACATAGTAAGAGGCTTTGTTTGGTAGGTGAAATATTATACTCTCCTTACCATGTGCTGTTAGGAGTAATCTTCATTGGAGATGTGGTAAGTCACATTATCTTCATATGAAGTATAGAGGGATATTGTTTTTAGGTTTTGTTGAAGGTATTGAACATGCTTGTGATCCCAGCACTTAGAAGGTGGAAACAAGAACTTAAGGAGGTGAAGGTCACTCTTGGCTACATCATTTGAACCAACCTGTGGTTCATGACACCCTGTCTTTGAATGAATGAATGATAAATAGGTGAATAAATAGAATAAATTTACAATGTGGAAGGGAATGGACATTTATCAGAACAGAAGGAAATGTGTGGTTAAACGGTTTCAGCTGTAACTGCAGACTGTTTCCCTTGGTTCAATGGGAGGAGAAATAGAATATTGTGTTTTTGGAGGGTTTTCCCTTATTTAAGTAAAAATTGGTTCAATATGGTTTATTGAAATCTTAATTTTTTAAACAATGGTTGCGCTTAGCATAAAGGAGAAGCACATAAGTATATGTAGTAGGAAGGCCTAACTCCTCAGATATCTGAGGAGTCATTTTTGGCATATTTATAATCACTGACAGTCTTTTTTTTTTTTCATCTTTTTGAAATGGGGTCTCCCTGTAGCCCCAGCTGTTTTGGATTTGCTATGGAGACCAGGCTGGCCTTGAACTCAGAGAGATCCTCCTGCCTCTGCCTCCTGAGTGCTGGTATTAAACTTGTGTGCCACCACACCCGGCTAAATTTTTTTTTTTTTTTTTTAAACTGGGAGCTGGAGAGAGATGGCTTGGCAGTTAGGAGCACTGGCTGCTCTTATGGAAGACCCGGGTTCAGCACCCACATGGAGGCTAACAGCCATCTGTAACTCCAGTTCCAGGTGATCCAACATCCTCTTCTGGCCTCTGGGCACTATACAACAAGGGTGCACTTACATACATGCAGACATAACACTCATACATGTAAAATAAAAATAAAAATTGAGAGTGTGGGGCTGGAGAGATGGCTCAGCGGTTAAGAACACTGTAGCCAAGACCCGAGTTTGAATCCCAGCACCCGCATGGCAGCTAACAACTGTCTTTAACTCCAATCCCAGGGGATCTGACAGCCTCTTCTGACCTCCGTGGGCACTGCAGGACACGGGTGCACTTTTGCAGGCAATACATGCTTACACATAAAAATAGTAAAATTTAAAAAACATTGAGTGTGACGGCTGGTACCTATAATCTCAGCACTTGAGGTAGAAGTAGGATGATCCTGAGTTCAGAGCCAGCCTGAAACACAACAGTATGGCAGTTAGGGGAGAGGTTGTAGGAACTGTGAATGTCTCATAGTTCAGTCTGTACCTTAATAAAATGTTTCAAATAGATTTTAAGGTCATAGGATTTCACTATTTTTTTTTTTATTTATTATTTTTATTTTATGAGTTCAAGGTCAGCCTGGTCTACATAGCAAGTTCCAGGACAGCTGGGGCTACAGGGAGACCCTGTCTCAAAAAAGACCAAAAAAAAAAAAAAAAAAAAACAAAAAAAAAAAAAAAAAAACCAAACAACAACAAAAAAATTGTCAAATCCTGTGACCTTAAAATCTATTTGAAAGACTGTGAAGTAGTTTGCATTAAATACCTTATAAAAAAAAAAAGTCATCCTGGGCTGGGTGTGGTGACACACACCTTTAAGCTCTCTGGAGGCTAAGACAGGCAGATCTCTGAGTTCATAGCTCTGAGTTCATAGCCTGGTCTACATAGCTAGATCCAGGGAGCCCGGACTACATAGTAAGACACTGTCTCAAAAATAAAATAGTAATAGCTTAGCCTGGATCATTACGGATATGTAAGAACAACTATTATGTAAAGCACTAAATATGTTGTAAGTAACATTGTTTGTTAAAAGCAATAGAAATCAAGCTTGGTAAGTCTTAGTATGCTAACAAAAGCTTTTAAATTTTAAAAATAAATAAAGCTTGGCATTATAGTTCAGAGGTAGAGAACTCTTGTCTAGCATTTGTGAAGCCCAGTTTCAATCCCTAGTACTACACTCAAAAGATGGGGGTGGGGAGGCATAGTAGAAGTCAGTTCTGGCTTCTACTTGGGAAGTGAGGTATTGTCAGAAATCTGTGAGGGGTGCAGAGCCTGACCCTGCATGGCTATAGAAACCTAGGTTGAAGAGGCAGTACTTGTTATTTTCTGAGGGTAGGATTCCAGTTGTTTTCTATGTTTGTATCTTTCTACCCAAGAACATCAAGACAAAAACTTTCTTTGTTGTAGCTTCTGCTGGAAGAATCAAAGGTACCTCCTTGAATTCCATCAGATAGTTTTACAGATTATCTCTTTTGTGTGTGTGGCAATAGGGATAAAACCCAGGACCTATGAGCTATGTTCCCAGTTCTTTTACAAATCCTGTAAAATTTTCTTTTTAAAATGATCTAGAAAAAGCCAGGCTAGGTGGTGCATGCCTTTCTTCCCAGAACTGGAGAGGGCAGAGGCAGGCAGATCTTCTCTCTTAGAGATCAAGACCAGCCTGGTCTACATAACAAGTGCCAGGCCAGCTGGAGTAACAGGGAGACCCTGTCTCAAAAAAGACCTAAATAATCATCACCTGGAAGAATTGTGAGTAGAAATAAAATCCTAGGGACTAGTGATGTAGCTATGCTAAGAATGCTTACCTCAAATGTGAAAGACCCTGGGTTTAATCTCTAGCATCACAAAAAAGAAAAGAAAAATTTCTAGAACGAAGCCAAAGGCTAAGGTTTATATGTATTTTCCTTTAATCCTTAATTTTATGATGATATTTTTTTCAAAAAGAAAACTACAAGATTGATGTAAATAAGCTTAATACTTTAAATTTTCATAAGTGGCTGCTTTTCACTGGTTTTCATCAGTGTTTTTTTGTGTTTTAGGTGTATTTGAAGGCTCCCATGATTCTGAATGGAGTCTGTGTTATCTGGAAAGGCTGGATTGATCTCCATAGACTGGATGGTATGGGTTGCCTGGAGTTTGATGAGGAACGAGCCCAGGTAGAGTGATTTCAGGCATTGCTAAGTTATTTAGCCCCTATTCTTGCCTTCAGGGAACTGTTCTATCTAGTCTTTGTTTAGGCTGATGAGACAGCTCTTTGGGTAAAAGGTACCTGTTGCCATTCCCGAAGACCTGTGTTCAATCTCTGGGACCCTTATAGTAGAAAGAAAGAACCAACTCCCACAAGTTTCCCTCTGACCTCCACATGGATATCATAGGAGGTGTGTATACACATACATGTGCATATACACAAAATAAATAAAATAAAATTTTAAGCACATAACAGTTATATACTTCTGATGGACAGCCATGTGAGAATATGATTGGACATCCAGATACGAACCAGTGCTGAAGATTGGCAGTGAGGGGGTGGGGGTGGGAGAACCCAGCAAGGCCTATCACATCACATTCTTCTTTTTAAAAAATTTTAAAATAGTAGTATGTTTAAGAAATGGGCTGGAGCGTGGCTCAGCAGTCAAGAGTGCTAGCTGTTCTTGCAGAGGACCTGGGTTCAATTCCCAGCACCCACATGGTGGCTAATAATTGTCCGAAACGCCAGTTTCACAGGATCCAACACCCTCTTCTGACGTCCTCAGGCATTCCACAACATGGGTGTACTTATATACATGGAAGCAGTATACTCATACAAATAAAATAAAAATCATAAGAAAAATTATTTTTAAAAATAAGAAATATTGAAGAGTCTTGAAAATGTTGAGAGCACTGGGCATGATAGCACACATCTTTAATCCTAGTACTTGGGAGACAGAAGCAGGCAGATCTCTGTGAGATTGAGGCCAGCCTGCTACATAGTGAGATCCACGTCAGATGGGCCCACAGAAAGACCCTGTCTTGAAAAGAAGAAAAGCAGAGCGAAGAAAAGAAAAAGTTGAGGGCTGGTCCTAATTTTGGAAGTTATTGGAATTCACTGGTAATCATTAATCACCCATCTGTTTGGTGGCGGTAAATGGTTCTAGTTGTGGTGGCACACACCTTTAGTCCCAGCACTTGGGAGACAGGCAGGTAGATCAGGTCAGCCTGATCTACATAGCGTTCAAGGCCAACTGGGGCTACACAGTGAGACCCTGTCTTTAAAAGAAGAAAAACAAAAAATAACACTTTTAGAATGCCTAAGTAAGGAGATTGGCACGTTCGCAAAAAGGTACTAATAAACTAGACAAAAATTATTTAAAAACAAAATATTTATTCAGGATCACCGATAATTAGCCAAAGGCTAAAAATTGAGAGGTCTGAGTCAGGTGTGATTGTACACGCCTTTAATCCCAGCACTCAGGAGGCAGTGGTAGGCAGATCTTTGAGCTGGAGGCCAGCCTGGTCTACATAGTGACTTCCAGGCTGACTACAACTACAGGGAGACCCTGTCTCAAAAAGACAAAAAAAGGAAAGAGAGAGAGAGAGAGAGAGAGAGAAATCAAATTGAGGTCTAAATTCAGCAGAACTATTGAATTTTTGTTAAGATCAGTGAGTGTGACCTTGTAGTCAGGAACTGTTGCCGTCTCTTCCCTGTCCTAGGTTCTGCCTGAACAAGCCATAAAAACTGGTAGCTCTACTATCCTGTTAGAACTGACTTTATTTTGAAGAGCAGAGCTTGAGGTGAAAAATCCGTACTCAGGATCTTGTTAAAAAGCAAGAATTTCAGGCCTGTAGAGATGGCTCATGGTTAAGAGCACTGGCTAATCTTGCAGAGGACCTGGATTCAAGTCCCAGCACCCATGTGGTGGCTAACAATCATCTGTAACTCCATTTCTAGGGGATCTGATGCCCTCTTCTGACTTGTACAGGCAATGCATGACATGGGTACACTTAAATATATCCAGGCAGTACACTGATAACACAGAGAATAAAAATGATAAAAAATAAATTGTATTAAATTTAAAAAGCAGGAATTTTAGCATGAAGATCTAAGGAAACAGATAGCTAAAGTTGCCCAACTAAAGGTTACATTCAAACATGATCCAGAAAGCTTTGTGCATGTGCAAAGCCACACCTACAAAAAACACAGAATGCTTGTGTAAGCACTTATTCCCTGGCTAAACACAGAAAGCGATTTGGTTAACTCTCTGAGTTAAAAGGTATTTGCCTAAGCCATACACAGATCAGCAACAAAGGATGGAAGCCTACTGGCTCAGACTGTTTAAATGTAAAACAGATCCACCATTTGCTAATAGCAAGGCTGTGCTGACCCACAGACAGAAAGTAAAACTAAATGTTGGGGGGCTGGGGAGATGATGCAGTGTTTGATAAAGTGCCTGCCATGCAAGCTTACAGTACTGGATTTCGGATCCCCAGAACCAATACAAAGTTAGATGCAGTAGTGCCCATCTGTAATCTCAGGTCACCTGCAGCAAGATCTGAGGCACAAACAAGAAAATCCCCAGAAGCTATAATATTAGCTGCTCAGAGGGCAGAGGCAGGAGGATCACAAATTCAAAGACCCACCTGGACTGCACAGTGAATTCCAGACCAGCCTGGACTATATTGTGAGACCATGGGGAGTGGGAAGAAGAGAACAAGGTATGTAGTTCAGCAGTAGAGCACTTGCTTCGTAGATAAGAGGTCCTGGATTCAGTTCTCAGTACTGAACAATAGTGGCAGTAACAACAGCCACCACCACCAAACAGGAAAAACTAATTTAGAAATCTTTACCCATTCTTTCTTTTCCCATCACATGCCCAAGTATTTGTTTCTAGGATTTATTGCTGCTCTTGGTAGTGGTTGGTTGGTTGAGGTTATTTCTTTTCCTTCATACTGGGTATTGAACTCAGGGCCTTAATTTGTTAGGAAAACACTACTACTGTGCTATACTCCTAGACCTCCATTATTTCTTGGTTTTTGTCTTTTGAAACAGTGTCTGGCTATGTAGACCAGGCTGGCCTCAAATGTGATGATCATCCTGCCTCTGTCTCTCTTGAATGCTGAAATTATAGGTGTGTCTCACTATGCCCATATGGTCCTCAAACTCAATATGTAGCAGAGCTGGCCTTGAACTTGTGATCTTCCTGTTTCCACTTCCCGGGTGCTGGGATGATAGCTATGAACTACAACACCTGGCTTGTTATTTCTTAACATACTTCCTGCAGGCTGGAGAGAGAAGCATGAGGACCTAAATTTGGTTCCTAGCACTGAAATAAAAAGCCAGGTCTGGCCGTGTAGGCCTGTGACCCAGTGCTGGGGGAAATAGGAAAGGTAGAGACAGAAAGCTTCCTGGGGCTTATGGCTGCCATTCTAGTTCCAAGGCCAGTGGGAGACCCTGTCTCAGGAACACGGTGGTGAGTAATAGAGCAGAGCACGCAGCATCCTCTTCTGACCTCCATGCACTACATGAACAAATACTATACTCAGATACGTATATACACTCTGCCTCTGTCTTTCCCTCCTCTCCTGAGATTTTTGCCACATTAGTATGTGACAGTGTCCCATGGGTCTCTGAGCCTTTCATTTTTCTTTCTGTTCCTCACATTGGATAATCTCTTTTACTCTGTCTTCAAGCATACTAATTTTTCTTCTGCCACTTTATCTGCTGTCAGGTCTATGAATTTTCTGTATCAGTTTTTTAAAAATATTTTATCCTTTGAGAATTTCATACAATGTATTTTGATCATATTCTTCCCCACTCCTCCCCTAACTTCTCCCAGATCCACCCCCACATTAGGTTTTTGTTTTGTTTCTTTTTTGTTTCGGGTTGTATTTGGGGACAATTCGCTATATAGCCTTGGCTGACCTGGAACTTGATATGTAGACAAGGCTGGCCTGGAACTCACAGAGATCCACCTACCTCTGCCCACTGAGTGCTAGGGTTAAAAGCTTGAGCTACCATACCTGGCTTTTTTCACTTTTTTCCCCCCACATTTTAAATTGCAGAAATGATTTGACTTTTTATAATTAAGGTCTCTTTGTTGATATTCTCTACTTGAAGAGTCACTATCATTGTATTTTTAATCTTTCCTTTTGCATGAGAGAGAGTGGGGAAAGGGGAAGTGAATGTGGACCATAGAGGACAACCTGGGGTGTCATCTTGAGATAAGAAATGCCATCTACCTTCTTTGAGACAATCTTATCACTATCCATGAGTTCGTCAGTTAGACTGGCTGGGCAGCAAGCCCCAGATATCTCTGGTCTTTGCCTCCTCAGCGCTAGAGTTTAAACTGTGAGCCACTATGCCTGGTATTTTTATATACCTTCTTAAGGATCATACTCAAGTCCTCATGCTTGAGGCAAACACGTTACTGACTGAGCCATTTCCCCAGCCCAGTTACCTTTCATCCTCAAAGGAAATAATTTGGTTATCCTTCATTTGAGCATCCTTGTTTGTGAAATACTGGCTGAGACATTTTGTCTGTTCTTTTGTTGGGTTGTTTTATCTCTTTGAAAATATTAATATTTCAGATATATTTTTATATGTTCTATATAGGTTAGAAAGTTCTTCCATAAATGAAGATACTTCTGAGTATAATTGTAAACATTTTTATGTGCTCATTTCATTTCTTTAGTTTGCAGATTTGTGGGAATAAATCTCAGTGTGTCTATGTTGTGTGTCTTTTTTTTTTTTTTTTTTGAGACCCATGTAACCCAAGCTGCCTTTGAACTGTCTATGTAGCTCATTTTGTAGCTGAGAAGACCCTTGAATTTCAAATTCTCCTGCCTCTGCCTCCACAACAGTGGGCTTACAGGTATGAGCTACCACACCCAGCCTTCAGTGTCTTTAGTATATGCTTGGTTTTCAGTAATGCACATCTCTGAAAGCCTGAAAATGAAAAATTGACACTTCACCATTGAATACTTGTAATCAAAATTTCAGCTTACTTATGTGCTCTGCCATGACATTTGTGTGCTGTGGCATGCTTGTGGAGATCAGATTTTCAGCTTACTTATGTGCTCTGCCATGACATTTGTGTGCTGTGGCATGCTTGTGGAGATCAGATAACAACTTGTGGGACTCACTCCTCTCCTACCATGTGAATCCTGAGGATCAAGCTCAGGTCATTACTCACTGAGCCATCCTGCGGTCCCTTCAAATAATTTTTTTTTTGTTTGTTTTGTTTTGGTTTTGTTTTTTTAGATATTTTATTTATATGTGTGTATTGCCTACATGTAGGTAAGTGCACCAGTGTCGTGCACTGCCTGTAGAGGGCAGAAGAGGCTGTCCAATCCCCTGGGACTGGTGTTACAGACAGTTGTTAGCTGCCATATGGGTGCTAGGATTTGAACCCAGGTCTTCTCCAAGAACAGCCAGTGTTCTTAACCGCTGAGCCATCTCTCCAGCCCGTTTTTGTTTTTTGAGATGGTCTCTCTTTAGTCCCAGCTGGCCTAGAACTTGACCAGGTTAGCCTCAATCTCATAGAGGTCCACCTGCCTCAGTGTTGGGATTAAAGGTGTGCAGTACCACACCCAGCACCTTCAAATAATTTTTAACAAAATACAACTAATGTTTATTTACCAAAAGAAAAAGAAAATCAATTGCACATATGCTGTCATAAGTTATATATTCAGAGTCAACTTTGTCACAAAAACTTCATGGGTTTGTGATTGCATAAGGATATTTTTAAGTTATATAACTAAATAAATAATAATTACCACAACATCTCATTTCTTTGCATGCAGTGATATATACCAGAACTACCTAATAAGTTTGTACCTTGTGTTTTTTAATTCAATGAGACCATTATTATTGTTTGTTGGAAATAGGATCTCATGTAGCTAAGGATGATGACCTTGAACTCCTGATCTTTCTGCTACAATCAGCGAGAGAGCATTTTATTTATTTATTTATTTATTTATTTATTTATTTATTTTTGCATACTTTATTTTCCCCAACTTTTCTGTTATCAACATGGATGCCAATACTTTCACTTCAGTTTTGGACTTTTTTGACTTTAGTTTGGCAATCAGAAAAATATGTTTCATCTTCAACATAATGACCTTTCAGATGTAGTATATTATTGCATGATTGGGTTAGGACAGTAGGACCATTATCAGAATTAGATTTTTCTGTTTGAAATACCTGATGACACTGATATAAAACAAGAATCCTGTGGCTGTTTGTAAGATTTTATTGCCAGTGAAGTCAACATATAAGCTAATTTGCTTTGTGTATGTGTGTACAAGAATGTAACTAGAACTGACTAGGAAGAGTTGTTTGATTGTTTAACAAAAAGTTACATTCTGCAGAGTAGTGAGTTAAATGTTCCATTTGTAGCTGCACATGTCCAATGATTGCCTTTGGAATAGATACTAATGCTCCAGATTTCTTTTTATTTTCATGCTGTGATACCATTCTGACCTCCACAGAATATTAGATGTCAGTATTCTGTACAAATTATATGTTTATCAAAAACTTTCTCTTTTTTTGGTCTTTTTGAGACAGGGTCTCCCTGTAGCCCCAGCTGTCCTGGAACTCGCTATGTAGACCAGGCTGGCCTTGAACTCACAAAGATCCACCTGCCTCTGCCTCCCAAGTGTTGGGATTAAAGGCATGTACCACCATGCCCAGCTCATAAACTTTCTTATAAATTAATTTCATTCTTAATTTTTCTTTAAACATAAACTTTTAAAAAACTTATTGTTGAAGAAAGGTGTTATGTCAAACTATAAATAAATATTGTTGAAGATTTAGATAATATGAAAAGCTAAAATCATTGAGGCAAGAATGGGTCAAATTATTCTGTCTGTACTCCATGACAGAACTGCAGACATTTATTTCACATGGAGACTTGAACACTCCAGCTATGTTTTCTTTGGTTTGTTTTGGGGAGGGGGGGTGTAAGGACAATTTGCAGTGGTCAGTTCTACCAGGTGGGTCCCAGAAATTAAACTAAAGTCATCAGGATTGGCAGCAAGTGCCTTTTACCCACTGAATATATCATACCTTCAAGTGTTGTGTGCGTTTCTCTGCCTTATTTTTTGAGAGAGTGTGTCTCACTAGGCCTAGAGCTCACCAATTTGGCTAGACTGACTGGCCAGCAAGCTTCAAAGGTCCAACTGTCTCTTCTTTCCTGGAACTGGGATTGCAGATATGTTCTGCAATACCAGCTTTTTTATATATATATAACAAGGGGACTGGGGATCTGAACTCAGTTCCTTGTGTTTGCATAGCAAACACTTTACACACTGAGCCATCCTTCTAGCCCTTTTTGTTGTTTGAGATGAGGACTCCTATGTTGTTCAGACTGGTCTCTTTCATTCCTAGGTTTAGGTGATCTTCCTTGCCTCAGCCTCCCACATAGTGGGTTTATAGGTGCATACCACCATGGTCAGCTCCAACTGTTACACTGATGCCCTAGCTGCTTTGTGCAGGTTCTGGTGTAGACTCTGGAGTAACAACAGGCTAGTATGACAAGTGGCTGGGGAAATTAAAATTGCAAGCTCCTCCCACCATCGCCTGGGGCTGGATAGAATCAGCTGTCCCTAGCCATTATTCTCCTTCATGGGTGAGCAAGTAATTTTATTAGCTAGTGCTGTCCCTAAAAGGGAGATGTTACATGCATTGCAACAAGAAAAGGGATCAGGATGACATTGGTAATTGCCCATAGTCTTCCCCATTTGTTAAAGTGTGAATTCTGTTCACTGTACACACATTTTTCTTGTCACTAGAAAAGACCAAGATGGAAGTTGGAACTAAAAAATAGAGAGCCACCAAATTTCTCTTGGCTTATTCTGCAGCAGTTAGTAATACTTTTTAGTCATTTAATGGAGTAAAATTCATGACCATTTCTAGAATATCTATAGTAGCTTAACTTTCTTAGGGAATTATATTACATCTCATGTTAAATGCTCTGGTTTTATCCTCAGTTTTCTCTGTTATACTTAATCATATTGATCACTTTACGTTGATTAAATTAGGTTTATTTGTTAATTAGGTTTATTTTCTACCTATCTCTCTGGATTAGCAGCTATAGGAGTAAAGCAGCATTCCTTCATATTATGTAAATGGAACCATGCACAATGACCGGAACATAATAAGACTCAGTAAATATTTGTGGGAAATAATGAAAAACTGAGTAAGAACCAATGAGGTAGTTCAGCAGGTAAAGATACCTGCCATCAAGCTTGCTAACCTGTGTTCGATCCCCAGGACCCACAAGGTGGAAAGAGAGCACCAATGCCCACAAATTGTCCTTGAACTTCCACAGACTGTGGTGTGGACACACAAGTAAATGTGGTAAAAAAAAATTTTGAGGGGATAAAAAAGTGAATAAGTACACAGAACAAAATGGGTACACTGTCATCAGCAGATGTATCCCAGATACCTAATGAGTAACAGAAAGCCTTTTTAGGTATGAATAGCATTCTTTTATAAGTACCTCAGGCTTAGTTAAATGTGTGACTTTATTTGTTTGTTTGTTTAAGACAGGGTCTCCCTGTAGCCCCAGCTGGCCTGGAACTCCAAGAGATTGACCTGCCTCTGTCTCCCAGTGCTGGAATTAAAGGCGTGCAACATGGCTGCCACTGCTGCCACCAGCACCTGGTTAAATGTGTGATTTTTATATATATCCGTAAGTGCTTGTAAAATAATAGAACTGGATGCTGTCTGGTAATATGCTCAATAAACACTTTTATGTGTTCTCATTTATCCCTCATAACTTGTAGAATAGTCCATTTAAGTTACAGGCACTGGAATTATAAATTTTAACCCTGCTAACAGTGACAAATGATTTTATTACAGCGAACAAGACATCTATCGTACTCAGACCTGGTGGTACACTTTATTACCAGAGGCCCTGGTCTTTTCATTTTCCTGTTGTACCATGGCTAGCATGTGATTTTATCCTCATATTTTCAAGATAACTGCTAAGTGTCTGAGCATTGCATCACTTTCCAGGAAGGAGAAATGGTGAAATGTCTCCTAAATGGCCTTCTTGGAAACCTGATCAGATGACTTGTGCTTATTATCTCATTGACAGAACTAAGCTATATGGCCACCCTTGGTGTACTGATTCTAGGAAAGTGAATGTTAGGACTTTTGTTCTGGATATTTTCATTTCTGCAAGAATACCATCAAAAAATATTAGTACATACTCTGGTATGTGACTGGCAAAAGTTGAACATTCTGTGTTGTAGCATGTAAACAGTGAGGGAGCTTTCTAAGTTTGGGGGCCCTCGTCACATTGTGCTTTAGAAGATCAACACTGACAGCAGTATGAGGAGTGGTGCAATAACTGGAAACAAGGAGAGACTGTTTCAGAGCCTTGCAGTAATCTAGGTAAGAGCTGTTCAGGTTCCAAATTAGGCAAATGTTTGTAGAAATTAAGAAGAGCTGGGCTTGGTGGTGCGTGCCTTTAATCCTAGCACTTGGGAGGCAAAGGCAGGCAGATCTCTCTGAGTTCAAATCCAGCCTGGTCTACATAGTGAGTTCCAGGACAACTGGGACTACAGGGAGACCCTTTGGTCTCAAAAAGACCAAAAAAAAAAGAAAGAAAAGAAATGAAGACACTGCAGATTCCCCAAAATACAGTCAGATAGGTAGTGTGCTAATTCTGTGAAGTTAAGAAAAAATGCTAAATCAAAAGTGGGTCAGGTTCCTAGTAGAAATGTGGCACAGACTCGTAAGCCTGACACTAGGGAAGCTGAGGCAGGAGGATTGTATTTCAGGCCAGCCAAGGCTATCATGACACCCTGTCTCCAAAACAAAAGTACCTCTAGCTGGGCTGGGTGGGGGTGTGCTGGGCCAGCTCCACCACTGTCCCTCCGCCACCCCCCAAAATAAAACTACCTCTAAAAGAAGTTGGGGTGGGGTTTGGGGTTGTAGTGTTGATATTTTTAGAATAACTGCAGTTTTTTCCTTCAAAAAAAAATCCCAAATATAAATTTTTATTATAGATCAAAATTAAAATAGCTATTTCATGTATTCTTACAGCAGGAAGATGCATTAGCACAACAGGCCTTCGAAGAGGCCCGGAGAAGAACACGTGAATTTGAGGATAGAGACAGGTCTCACCGGGAGGAAATGGAGGTGAGAGTTTCACAGCTGCTGGCAGTAACTGGTTAGTACTTTCACCAAACTCTCAGGCTGTTTGTAATGTTTGTGCATAATGTTTTTTAATAGTTTGTCCTTTGTTTTAAAAATTGTACATTATTTTATTATATGTAGTTCTTTTAAAGAAAGGTATTCTGATTTTAAGGTCACATACGAATTTCTTACGTATTGATCTTCACAAAGAAAATCTTTTACTGTAACAAGGTATATTTTTCTCTTAATTGATTCAAATCATTTTATTCAACCTCTTGCTGTCACACACTTATTTCTAAAAATTGCCTCATGTTAACATAGATAATAAGCTATCATTTAGAACATTTTTGAAACCTTTTGCAACTAATACTATTTTTCATTTTCTAGGAATATTGTCTTGATTTTGAAAGTTACAGGATTTTGTTTGTTTCATTTTCTCACAGTTGTGGGTGGGAGGTGGTGCACAGAAAATTTCCATGCAAATTGTGTGTGTGTGTGTGTGTACGTGTACGTGTACTTGTGCGTGTATGCTCTTATTTAAATTATAACATAGAAGTGTGTGTGTTTGTGTATATGTACACAAAGAGTAGTGTCTATCTCGTGTCTGTCTCATAGGGTCATTGTGAGGATTAAATCAGTAAATTACATATGAAAGCACCTTTAGAATAGATAGCTCTGACTAGGTATCAACTGCTGTTTTTATTTCCTTTTTTATTGTGTTGAATATTTTAGAATAAAAATTTTAATTATGTCTATTCAATGATTAGTATATGAAGTAAAATCAAATTCTCTATCTTTTAATGATTGATAGATTCCTTCATCAATGAGCTAATTGGCCTAAGAGGCTGATGGCAAATGAGACCATCCCTGAGAATCCATTTTAGCTAGGAGGGTATAGGAGTGATGTATATGTGTTACACATGTTTTCTTTGAAGGTTTTACAATTCTTGTGATCTTACGCTTCCCATTTCGCTCTTGTGCACTTTATAGAATGTACTTCTCTACCCATTCGTTGAGATGCATGCAGCATAAGGTATCTGGCAGGCTCTTCTCAAGTCTTAATCATAATTAACTCTTGTGTAGTTCCATAGCAGTTCTTAATTTCTTCCTTCCCCATTCCTGTCCCTTTTGTCCCTTTCCTTTTCTCCCTTTTCCTTTGCTGATTTGTTTGCTATTGGGTTTTTTGTTTCTTGTTGTTTGAGATGAGGTTTTATCCAGCACATGCTCACCTGGAACTTGCTATGTGACCACAGATGAACTTACATTCTTGATCCTCTTGATTTCATTTCCCAAATGCTTGGAGTACAGAAATGGGCCATCACACCCAGCTAGCTCTTATTTCCTTTCCTGTTCAAGATTTATTTTTAATCATGTATATGTGTGTTTATGTGTGGGTTTGTATACATGAGTACAGTGCCTGTGGAGGCCAAAAGAGGGTATCCAGTGCCCTGGAGCTGGAGTTAAAGGCAGCTGTGAAGCACCAGATATGGGTGACCACTGAACTCTGGTCACCTGGAAGAGCAGTGTACACTTTCAAATGATGAGCAATCTCTCCTTGATTTTTGTGTCCCATGAATTATCCACCAGTATTTTTAAAGGTGTTTACTTGATAAATGAAAACCTTAAAAAAAAAAAAAAAAACAGTCTACCTACCTGTCTGAATTACAGAGGAGTCTATGGGATAAACTAGATGATACACGCTGATGGTCTCTGCGAAGATTTTTAAGTGTTTATAACTGGAGCTGGTTTATGTTAATTGGTTAAATAGTAGCCTGTGTTGTGCTGGATTCTGCAGGAGGGACTAGGGGATACATATCCTTGCACATCTTTAAATCTTGACAGAACATGGATGTAGAGACAGGTAATTGCAGTGTCTTTTAGCATACATAGTGGTAGTTCAAAGGGAGATGGTGGCGCTGTAGAAGACAGATCATTTAAGTTTGTCACTGCTTGGGACGTTCATAGAATATGCTTGCAGGGATTTGAAGGAGAGCACGGGTTTGCCACCTCTGCAAACTGGAAAGCTTTTCCGGCAGGAAGAACAGTTATGTTTAAAGCGGTAAATGAGTGATGGAGTTTGCCAAGTCAGAAAACATGGCCACTCTTTCTGGAGTAAATGAATATACTTAAAAAATAACTACTTCAGAATGAGTGGAATAGTTGTTTAGGATGCTTTTGTATATCTTTTGCTTTAAGTTGTTGAATATTAACCACAATGTTTATATGTTTGAGAAAAGGTCTCACTGTGTGGCCCTGACTGGCCTAGATCTTCTGCCCCTGTCTTCTAAAGTATTGGGATTGCAGACATGCCCCACCATGCCCAGCACAAATAGTCTATTTTAAATAGTTGGGTTTTTCTAATTTTTTTCAATGTTGTCATTTGGGGGAAAAAATGCTTTTGTTTATGTGTGTCTATGAACAAAAACAAAGTCTGTTGACAGGAATGCCAAATAATTTGTCACTCGGCTAGATTGATTCCATTAGCTAGATAGTCAGTGATTGAGAGCATGGTCTTGTAGTCGGGCCTGGTTCATATTCCTGAGCCACACTTGCCAGTCTCTCTTAAGCCCCAGTTTTCTCACCGAAATTGAGAGAATTCAGTGTGAAAACATTTATAAAGTAGTTAATATGGTGCTTGGCATGTGTATGCCAACAGAAGTAATAGCTCTAAAGTGCTTTAGTGCTAAAAGCTCTACCACAGTGCTGGCTCCAGTTAATTGAAGTATCTGGCTAACAAGAGCATCCTTTTAGTTCTCTGTAATGTATTGAGGCACTCTCCTTGCATTATGACCTAGATGAGAGAGAAAACAGTTAAATTTTCATCAATGATTTAAGATCCTGTAGTGCCTAACAGCAATAATTTGAGATACTAGTTCTTGTAGAAAGTTGTCATCTAAGAAGAGTGGGCTGGAGTCTGTCTGCAGAGCACACTGGCAGTTGTGAATAGGAGTTTGGGGTTTGTGTGCTTTTGGCCCTTTGCATATTTGTACATTCTGCCTGCCCTTCCTCCTTCCTTGTGGTTCTTTCTTTTGTTGTCTTATCTATGAACACTTCTTAAAGGTTGCTGTCTTTCGAATTTTACCTTTTTTTTTTTTCCTGAAATAACAGTGAAGGAAAATGTTTTTGCCCTGTAATTCAAACATCTTTAGGGATTTAAGTATCATCTAATTCATTCTTAACAACAGTTGGTGAAAATAAGACTCCCAGAAAAATTAACTCACATGTTCTCTTTCAAATGGTTTGCTAATAGAAGAAAAACCAAGGAGTTAAACCTAGTTTCCTAACCAGGACATCTCCACAAATACAGCCTAACAGTGGGAAATTAATTTCTACAGCACCCATAGAGCTGAAAAATAAAATCTGCTGGGAGAAGTTAGAAACCATTTTGCCTGGAATAGAAAAGGCTGAGGCAGAAAAGAATAATATTGGTTCTAGTGGGTGGTCCTGATGCCTGACTGGAGATGACAGCCAAGAACAGTGGTAATTCGTGGGCGGCAGTAACTGAGGAGATGTTTGGAAGCCTGAGATTTTGACACACTAAAGCTCAGGGTTCTCTACCACTGTTTGAATAACCTCTGAAATCCCTACCCTTGCCATACTGAAGTGTTGATGGTACTACCCATGAACATTTAATGCTCATGTAAAGTTAAAAGTTCTGTCAGTGGGAAGCAGAACTTCAAATGGTTGTAGCTCAAAGGATTCCATTTTTCACAATATTTTTTTAATATTTTATTTATTATTTTTATTTTATGTGTATGAGTGTATTGCCTTGTATGTATGTGAGTGCACCCATGTCGTGCAATGCCGCGGAGGTCAGAAGAGGGCTTCAGATTCCCCTGGATGTGGAATTAAGGATGGTTTGTAGCCACCATGTGGGTGCTGGGAATTGAACCTGGGTCCTCTGCAAGAGCAGTCAGTGCTCTTAACTGCTGAGCCATCTCTCCAGCCCAAAATTGTCTTTAATATGAAATTGGTTACAAAACTGCACATGCTTCCATTTTGCCATTTATAGCATCATTCATGATAGAATTTAGCCATCTCTTCTGTTTGTTTTTTGTTTTTTTAATTATTTTTTTTTTGGAGGAAGCTTTTACTGGTACAGTATTTTGTTTACTTTCCAAAGATAATGACAGTTTATCATTTATTTGGCAAATGAAAGATAAACTGGAAAAATATACTTATTTTAGTAGCCTTTACCAGATACTGGTAAATAATTTTAAGTAAAATGAGATACATAAAAGATACAGAATATTGTGTTTAATATCTTATCCTATAGATAGGAATATATTTGTTTGAAAGTGCTCACTAGTAGGCTGTATAAAAAAATGAAACTGGAAACTACAATGGAAACCAGATTGGGAGGAGGGGCAATGACAAAATGGACTTATTAGGACTGGAGAGATAGCCCAGCATTTAAGAATTCATACTGCCCTTACAGGGGACTTAGTTTGGATCCCAGCATCCACATATGGTGGCTCACACTGCCTATAGCTCTAGCTCCAGGGGGAATACGACTCCTCTGACCTCCTTGGGCACCTGCACTCACGTAACATACCTACACACACATATAATTTAAAATTAAAAATAAGAACTTTTCAAATGAAGGACAATTGTTTTCACTGTATATCCTTTTTGCTTTCTGAATTTGATATCACATACATCAATTATTTAGGAAAGAAAATTTGCTCTTAGGGAACTGGAGAGATGGTTAAGAGGGCTTGCTCTTGCAGAGGACTTGAATCAGTTCCCAGTTCTGAGGGATTAAACACCATTTTCTGGCCTCTGGACACCCATACACAAGTGACATACAGACACACAGAGATATAATGTAAATAAAGATAATTTTTTAAAAAGAAAATTTGTGGGGCTGGAGAGATGGCTCAGCAGTTTAAAAAACACTGGTTGTTCTTGCGGAAGACCTGGGTTCAAATCTCAGCACCCACATGGCAGCTAACAACTGTCCGTAATTCCAGTCCCAGGGAATCCAACAGCCTCTTCTGACCTCTGCCAGCATTGTACAACATGGGTGCACTT